TCGATCACATGATAAGGTATTCTTAAATCTTTATTATCTCTATTATAATCTGTAATATATGTTCAATCAGATATATGATTTTAAATTTTATATTAGAAAATTTAATGCAATCATAAATTCTGTGTCAAATGTTTAAATACTTGTAATATATAAAGTGTTTCAATGTGTGTTATAAGTAAGTGGTTTTCTTTTTTTCAAAATTTTAAAGGGCTGCGACTTGGTTTGTGAGTTTATAGCAATAGTGTAGTATTATATATATATATATATATATATATATATATATATATATATATATATATATATATATATATATATATATATATATATATATATATATATATATATATATATATATATATATATATATATATATATATATATATATATATATATATATATATTGTATATAGCTCTAGCTGCTTCTTCTGGCTGAACAAGTGTTGTTGTACTCATACTTGACTTATTACATTATTTACCTTTATTGTACAATTTTGTTTTATAATACTGTAGCTAATTTTTATTAGGCCTTAAAGCAAAAAATCAATTTTGACATTTATACAAAATAAGCTATTTTAGATTCCTACAAACGTTATTAAATAAATATTTTCAAAGAAATGTGAAATTTCATAAAAATTTTTAGTTTCAAAACATGTTATAAAAAGAGGTTTCTCTTTTAATTATTTTTTAATTGCGTTTTTCCTGAAATACATAATAATCATCATAACATTGTAAAAATATTTGTTTTAATTCAATCCATCAATGTAATAGTCAAGTTTAAGAGAGTACAATAATTTTATTAATTTACATATATTTAATAGTTATTTACACCTATACTTGACTTCTTGAATTGATTGATTACTTTTATTGAGACTTTGGATAAGCATGGAAGAATTGAAATTGGTCTGTAATTTTCAGGATTATAAATGTCTCCTGATTTGAAAATAGGTTTGACTCTCGCAATTTTTAGTTTTTCTGAATAAATGCCTAGTTTTAAAGAGAGACTAAATATATATATATATATATATATACATATATATATATATATATATATATATATATATATATATATATATATATATATATATATATATATATATATATATATATATATATATATATATATATATATATATATATATATATATATATATATATATATATATATATATATATATATATATATATATATATATATATATATATATATATATATATATATATATATATATATATATATATATATATATATATATATATATATATATATATATATATATATATATATATATATATATATATATATATATATATATATATATATATATATATATATATATATATATATATATATATATACTATAACAACCTAAAGGGAGAGAGTTCCAAAAGCTCTTTAAAACTTCTTAAAATATTAAAAAGCATTTAAAAATTTCTAAAAATATCAAAAACACCGGTAGCAAACTATGTGCTTGTCATGATAGAGATACTCAAGTTATTTATGTGCTTAGTAATTAGGTAAGGGTTCGAATAAAAAACACAAGTTTCTTTCTTACAAAAAATTTTTTTTACATGAAAACTTTAATTTTCTTTTAAATTAACGGGGCAAGAGTCGTAGTAAGCTACAAATAGTCTGAAAAAAAAATAAAAGTAACTTATTAAAGGAAAAAATTATAAGGTCTTTTTTTTTTCTTATACTCCTAGAAGTTTACAGAAATTATAAAGTATTGAACATTAATCGTTAATTCAAAAGAAAAAACTTTTGCTATTTTTTAAAAACTACTAAATAAAATGCAAATTTATTATGATGATTGGAGTGGAATAAAATTACCATGAACAATATTATATGGGTCATGGTAAGTCCGTCATTTCACATATTCGAAAAATCTCATGTTTTTTGAAACTATTTATATTGATGATAATTAATTAACAGATTTCAAGACTTAAGTATTCTGAATAATAATTAGACTAGTACGGTTTATAAAAAGCAATTTGCAATACGTCTACCGAAACGTTTTCAATTTAAAAAAATTAATTATAAAAAATGGTATTTTTACTCTTCATTACTAAAAAAAGAAAACAATAAATATAAATTTTCTTTATTTATTCAGTTTTTTTATTAACGCTCACTAAAATTTATTTAAAGAATAAGTATGGAAAAGATCGGTGTGGAATAGATGTACCAAGACCAATATATATATATATATATATATATATATATATATATATATATATATATATATATATATATATATATATATATATATATATATATATATATATATATATATATATATATATATATATATATATATATATATATATATATATATATATATATATATATATATATATATATATATATATATATATATATATATATATATATATATATATATATATATATATATATATATATATATATATACATATATGTTTCGACTATCACTAGTCATCTTCAGTTGAATTCAAATTTTTAAATTTGTTTAAATTTTCTATATAGGTGAGTTTTATAATAACAATACAAAATGTAATTATCAGTGTACAAACTATTAATTTAATTACATAAATACAACAAAATCTATAAGAGTAGCAAGTTATATTAAAAGAACGATTACGAAGTGATAAAAGAATAGGTTAATAAAAATATTCATAGAAAGTAATAACTAAACAGAAAGTGTCATTTGGACATGGTTGGCATGTTTGTTCAAACCAGGTTTTAACCATTCTATGAACATGCGTTTTTTAAGTTTTTATTCGAACTTATTAGATGCTGATTTTAAAACGGAAAAAAACTTTTTATTTAATTGCATAAAACAGTTTTCATTACAATGGAGCTGTTTATAGATATGTGATTTTTTGTCTTTCTTATAATGTTCAGTTATTCGTGTCTTGAGATGGCGAGTAGTTTCACCTATATAATAAGAGTTACATCCTGCGCATTCGAATTTGTAGACCATGAACTCTAGAGGAATAGGATCTTTAGAGGAAAAAGATTTTGAAACTCTTAGTAAAACAAAAACTAGTTTAAAATTTACTGAACAGTAATATCTTTTAACAACTAAATTCAAGCTTTTTTTTAGTTAATTCTTATAATTTTACGAGAAACGGTAGTTTAAAGTAAGATGAAGGCTCTTTGAGTTTTGGTTGTAATGGATTGTTTGTGTTAAGTGTGTTTAAATAAGATTTATATATTTATGATATTAGTTAAGATAGAAACATGTTTATTTAAAATACTTTGAAAAGATATTTTATGTCGGATTTAAACCCTAGATTAGTACTATTGATTTTAAAAGTTCTATTGATTAAGTATTTGTAAAGAGTGCCTTTGTACGAAAGCGGAGAGAAACTATTAAAACTGGTGTGTAAACAAGAGTAGGTTTTTTATGAAAACCTGTAGTAATTCCTGTAGAATTTATTTTGTGTACAGTTACGTCCAAGAAGGATATTTTTAAACTCACTTCTTGTTCCATGGTGAAAGAAATAGAGTTGTGTCTACTACTTTTATATAATTAAGGAAAATACGTACTTTATTTTCTGACTGAAAAGCAACAAAACTGTCATCAACAAATTGTTAATATAAAACTGGTTTGACACCATTGCAATTTTTAATCCAGTCATTTTAAAAATGGCCCATAAACAAATTGGCAAGAACAGGTGATAGTGGAAAGCCTATGGCTACAACATATATTTGATCAAAAGTATGCCCTTTAAAAAGAAAATGTGTTTGCGAGGTAGCGTAATTAAAAAGTATTTTTAAATCGTTTTTAGTAGTTTTAAAATTTTTATTATTAAGCATAATCGAATTAACTGCGATATCAATGGTTTCTTGAAAATATATAAATCTTATTTAAACAAAATTAACGCAAACAATCGATTACAACCAAAAAACAAAGAGCCTTTGTCTTACTTTAAACTACCGTTTTTAGGAAAAATATCGGAATCAACTAAATAAAGCTTGAACTCAATAGTTAAAAGATATTGTTGTTGTGTAAATTTTAAGCTAGTTTTTGTCTCACTAAAAGCTTAAAAAATTTTTTCCTTTAAAGATCCTAATCCTCTAAAGTTCAAATCGTTTAAATCCTTTAAAGTTCGACTCGTTCAAATCGTTCGTGGTCTAAAAATTCGTATGCGCAGAATGAAATTCCTGTTATGTAGGCGAAACTACTCGCTATCTCAAGACACAAATAACTAAACATTATAAGACCTGATTTAAACAAAAAAGTCAACCATGTCAAAATGACACTTTCTGTTATTACTTTCTATGTAAATTTTTATTAACTTATTCTTTCGTCACTTCCTATTCGTTCTTTTAGTATGACGTGTAATTCTTATAGATTTTGTTGTATTTTTGTAATTAAATTAATAGTTTTTACATAGATACTTACATTTTGTATTGTTATTGTAAAAATCATCTATACAGGTATTTAAACAAATTTAAAAAATTAAATTAAACTGAAAATGACTAGTCGAAACATGTATTGTTTAAAATTAATAAAATGGTTTTATTAACTAAAAAGTCTGTGTTGTTTATTAAAATATATACATTTTTAGTGCTTAAAAGATATTTTGGATATATATGTATATATATATATATATATATATATATATATATATATATATATATATATATATATATATATATATATATATATATATATATATATATATATATATATATATATATATATATATATATATATATATATATATATATATATATATATATATATATATATATATATATATATATATATATATATATATATATATATATATATATATCCAACAGGTTTTTGTTAATTTAAAATTAGTTCAGATCACGTTTAGATGATATTTACGTTGTTCTAAGCGTTTAGGAATCTATTGTAAACGAGTTCTGAATATTTAGTTTAAATTAAAGCTAAATCACATAATTTTCGTACCGAACTAATTTTGAATCTTTGATTATTATTAACAAATAGAATATCTCATAAATCTTATATTTTGCGATAAATGGTTTAGAAAAGATAAAAGAAATTTGCTTTTAGTATTATTTTGTGGCTTATAATACAGCTAAAAAGTCCTGTAAGGTTCGATTATATTGTGTAAGCAATTATATTGTATATTATATATTAAAAAAAAAAACATTTTTTTTTTAATATATAAATATATATTTATTCATATATCAAAAAAAATATATACTTATACATTTATACAAGTTATATAATCTTTTTTTTTTAATATATAAAAAATTATATAACTTATTTATATATCAAAAAAAAAATATACTTATACATTTATACAAGTTATATAATCTTTTTTTTTTAATATATGATTTTATATATAGTAGAATACAGGTTTCGATTATATTGTAGTACCGATTACATTGGATGAGCGATTTGAAATATTTTTAAGTACAGTAACAATGTATTTTTTTATTTACTTTTTTTAATAGTTACTGTTACTAAAATAGCAGTTTCAAAAAATGAGTAGTAGCTTCAAAAAACTAGCAGTTTCAACATTTTTTAAATGTATGTCTAAATTCTTTATTTTGTTTGGTTTTTAACAACTTTAAAACTTCTATCGTTAAATCTTAGGTTCACAATTTTTCTACTCTTAGAAAAAAATTTATACTATTTAAGCCTTAACAGTCCTTTATATAACTAGATAAAAATTATTATTGTTTGTTTATATTAAGACCTAACATTTATTTGTTTATGTTATATTGATCGAATTGCAATGTTATAATATTTAAACTTTTAATATTTATGTAATGGATTTTCAGTTATAGTGTGAAGTTTTTGTGTAAACTGAAAAATATTTCTAAAAATTAAATATTATTATTACTCCTATATGATAACCACTAAAGAGAAATTAAATTTACTTAACTCTTATATGATAGACTATTATATGATATCATTTACTTTCTCTTTATAAGAAAAGTTAATATGGTTAGAACAATAATATATATAGATATATAACATAATTTTCTAAAATCCGCATGAATATATTTTTTATTGTGAAATGAGTTTTGCGTGTTTAACTTTATTTAATATTTTATATACAGTCCAGTCAGTTGCAACAACAGTTAAACCAGCAGGAAACAGCCAAGTACACATGCAAGTGGTAAATTGAGTTTTTGTGGCGTTTTTACTTCTTTAAAACTTCGATTTATTAAATTACTAATTAAGTTAATGACTATTTTTGTAAATATCAATCTTTAAATAAAAAGTACAATAATTTTTAAAAGCATTAGTTATTTTTTTAGTAATCAAACAATTAACTGCTAACTCTGTACTTTTAGATATGATTCTAATAGTTGAATATTTGTCAAATATTTACCTTTTAAATCATAATATAAATACTCAGGCTTATGAAAAGCTATTTATAAAAATTCAAGGCTAAAAAAATAATGTAAGACTAAAGGTAATTCCTATTTGATTTAAAAAGTACGTTAATGATTAGTTCAACTTTTTAAAGTTTAAGTTAATAAAGAGAGAGTTCAAATTGTTCTGTTTTCATCTTCTGTTCTATATCTAAAAGCTATTAAAATATTTATTGCATTATTATTCGTTTATTTTATTATGTTAAGAAAGGCGTACTAAGCCTAAAATTTTATTGGCCGAAATACATAGTATGTATATGTATGCCAACCGTCGGAATCAGAAAAACTATTTGGCAAAAAAAGTAAACAACTGTATAGTACATAGTATATTAAACAAATATATTATATATATATTTGGAAAATAATATATATGTACTACTAAACTAAATGATTAAACTTATTTAAAACAATTTTAAAAAGTTTAGTTACAAGTTAATGTTATGTGTTGATGTACCTTCACTCAAATGAGTGTTAACATTTCAACAAAACGTCATATTGCAAGGGTGTTTGGTAGAAAGAACCAAAACCTTGATATTTTTATCGATTTTTTTTTTAATTTGTGATATTATCATTTACATTTACAAAATGTTAAATAATTTACTAGTTTAAACGGTTTATTTTATTTGAAAAATTGTTTCAAAAGAAAATTGTTAAAATATCTCTCCATTTTAATTTCATAGGTAACTTTTTGTCTTGAAAATGCCCTTATATAAATGTTTTTATGTCATGTTTTAAAATGGATCAAGGTTTTGACACCTCCTTTTTAGTTTTAAGTTAGATTTTTCAACTTTTTTTTTTTTTTTATATGTTTTCACAGACTATATTTGTAATGAAAATAACATGCTTTTTATAATTAGAAATAGTTTACTTATATACAACTGTGCTTATTGTTTTAAAATTCTTTTAACATTCAACTAAAACATTATTATTTTATTAAACAAGTTAATAATATAAATATTAATTTTGCCACAAAGCTTAATAAACAATTTTAATTGTTTTTCGCTATAAATGTAAATAATTAAAATATTACATTTTCATTAATTCAAAAAAAAAATTAAATGTTGCTTTTATTCTATTAATAACAAAAACATAAAAAAAAAAACTCCAGAATTATATATATATATATATATATATAGATATATATATATATATATATATATATATATATATATATATATATATATATATATATATATATATATATATATATATATATATATATATGTATATATATATATATATATATATATATATATATATATATATATATATATATATATATATATATATATATATATATATATATATATATAATATAATTATATATAAATATAATATAATTACATATTTATATATATATATATATATATATATATATATATATATATATATATATATATATATATATATATACATATATATATATATATATATATATATATATATATATATATTATATATATATATATATATATATATATATATATATATATATATATATATATATATAATATAATTATGTATATATATATAATATAATTATATATATACAATAGAATTATATATATATATATAATATAATTATAAATATTATAATTATAGCCAGATTAGTCAAGTGAAATTTTATATTTTACCAATAATTATTTTAACAATAAAAGATAATAATTAAATAAAAATAATAAAAATATTTATAAAAAATAAATTTTTTTACGAAAATAATAAATCTTAAAATGAATAAATAAAAATGACATAAAATAAAAATATAAAAAAAAAACATATATGAAAAAATCGTAAAAATAGAGAAATAAAAATTGCGATTAACGGGGGAAAAAAAATGTACCCGTAAGTCAAGCATTAGTAGTGTATATAAAAAAAAACTTACTTAAAAATTGGCTATTCTTTACCTTTGCGTAAATAACATTTTTAAAATGGTAGAGCTGTTAATTTTAAAATGATAAAACTGATAAAAACATAATAAAGATGGTAATTTGAACATATTATTTAAAGCATCATGCCAAAAATCCTAACTGACTTTTTTAAAAAAAAATAATGATAACTTCTACTTAAATATAGATAATTAAGAAGGAGAATTAAGTCATTATTTAAAATTAAATAGTTTATCGCCTCAGCTTTTTTAAAGGCTCAAGAAGTTCTAATGAATCCTTTATAAAAAATTGTTTGCTGAGCAATTTGCTGTACCCCATGATGTTACATATCCTGAAAGAAAAAAATAGTATTTTTACATTTCTCGTTCAATATAAGTTTGATTCTTAAACACTTTTTATTCTTATTATGTTTTTTCACATTAAATAATAATCTTCTCCTTTGTCTGCCGTCATTTAACATTTAAAAGAGAGTATTAAAATATTGAATTCTAATAAAAGCTCAATTAGTTATTTATTAGTTACTATAGATATTGTGAAAAATAAACTGTTTTTTAAGATCAATAGATTTATTAAAATTTCAATCGAAATATGCATTGTTTTACAATCTTATTGTATGATATAATAAATGTGGAACTTAGCAATACTGCTTAATTGTACATATTGACGTATTGGTGCTGGCAGCATCCATTAAAAAAAGCTCAGGATAAAAATAGACTCTTTGTTCTTAAGAATTTTAAAAGATAGATCTTAATATAATAATATAAGAAATTTTTTAATGCTTATTCGAGCGTGTTTGACAGGGTAATTTTGGCAGCCGAATTGAGGTAATAGCAAGAAAGAGTTACAGCAAATTTTTTTTTAAAAAAAGTCAATAAAAGTGCATGTAAATATCTAACTTATGTAAACTTTAAATTATATAATGTTAAAACATACTAAAACATAAATTGTGTTTTACAGTTCACAGTTTACTTTCACTTGAAACATACATCAGCATCTCCTTAGATATAACATTTATTTCCGTATTTCAAGTCTCTTACTTACTATATACTTTGAAAAATTTATTCCACAATATGCGCGCATGGCAGAGGGGTTAGCTCGTAAAGTTTCTGATGCAAAAAGCCGAGGTTCATAGCGTTGTCGTCTTTGTTTTTTTTTTATTTACTTTGATATTTCAAAACAAATAAAAAAAAACACTTTTAAAGAAAAAACTATAAAGTTGTTTTGTTTTGCAATTTAAAAAAAACATTAAAAACAAAAAGCAAGCTCCTAATTTGAACATGCCAGGTGGCAACCTTATTTTATAACAGTAAGGGAGTTTAAAAAATATACAGCTAATTTAATATACCTAAAATAATATGAAGCTATATAAACTTATACAGCTATTTTACGATAATTTTGTTAAAGATTTTAAATTGAGTGCGCAACAAACACTGAACTAAGGGTGGAATGCAAAAAGCTAACTTGTTATTTTAAGTCATAATTCAAGTTTAAAAGTTGACTTGAGCAAATGCAAAAAGTGAACTTAAACTCGAAATCTAACTTTAAAACTCGAGTCGAATCGTAAAACCAACGTTTTCAAGTTAGACTTGAAAAGCCAACTTGCAAAAGAAAAAATCTTTTTCGAATCCAAGAAGCAAACTTGAAATTTCAAGGTATACTTTAAATCTGAAGTCTGACTAAATAGTTATGCAAGAAACAAACTTGAAATGAATTCGTACCTGAAAAATCTGATTTCAATTCGTTTTTTTTTAGTTAGGTACCGACCAGTCTTAAAACCAAACATGAAATTAAAAAAAAAAAAAAAAACGCCATTATTATTTAGTATAATACGCAGTAAAAAGTTTTATAGAGTTTTTGTCAATTTAATCAGTTTATTAATGACTTACAAATAAATTTTTATTTTAAACTATATAAATACATTTCAACAGTAGAACAATTCTAAATTGTATGTCGGTTTTATGTGACTGGACTACTGGTTTATTACAAACTTTTCAATTTTTTGAAATTTAATAACATAACTACAAAAAGTTAAAATAAAACAGCATTAGCAAAAAGACTTGCATTTTTCAAAAAGTTCACTTATAATACATACGATCCTGAATAAAACGTTGTATAAGTGAGTTTTTTACATTTTATAAACAATATATAAACAACTTGATAAATGTCTTAGTATGTTTTAACATTACTTAATGTAAAGTTTATGTACGTTAGATATTTGTTCGTTTACGTTTTCTAAAAAAACAAGTGGTTGTTCTATAGTATTGGTTCACGTTTTTTCAAAAACAAAGCGCTGCTACTCTCTCTCACCACTACCTCGGTTACAATGGCTGCCCAGGGTTCCGTATTAAACAGGCTCGAAAGCCCACTACTACTTACACTCAGTATTATAAATGAGATGATCATTATATTTTATACTACTACTGTACTTGTCAAGGTTTTTGAGTAAATTTTTAAAATACTTTGAAGATATTTATTATTCTTAAAGTCAAGATAATAATCTTTTTCATTCTGAGTATATTATTCGGTGTTTAAAGTCGCTGTTCTTGTTATAGCAATACTATATGAGAGTAAACCATCTAGTGTAAACATTACTTTGTTTTATGTGTGCAATGTTATAATAGTACTGAAAAATAAAATGTTATTATTTTATTCTCGAAAATCTTAGATCAAGTATTGCCATCAGTTGTTTTATATTTAATAAACAAAAATTAATAGACATTTTGTCACATTGTGAAAGAAAATAAAAATTGACGAACTTTTTACTTTCCGTCGTAGAATCGCCCATATATATATATATATATATATATATATATATATATATATATATATATATATATATATATATATATATATAT